GTATTTGTTGACCATTTTCCCAAAGTCATATTTTTTCCTATTGCCTGTTCCTTTCAAAATCAGAGAAAGCAGTGACCCAGGAAACTGGTGCTGACAGCTTCTTGTTTTGAAGCCACCTTGTGAGAACTACTATAATCTAGGGTTATTTATATTAGGAAAAAATGCATTTCTAGCTGATGTTATATAATACACATAAACATACAGACATTATGTGCATCATTTGCTGTATTAACCTATTTCTTTCCTCTGGATTTGTATGAAATCATATCATGCATAATCACTGTCCTTTCCTAGCCACTTTTTTACCAATTAGTGCATCTTTATGGTATATAATGTTTTCATTCCTTTATGAAGTTGGTACATGTATATCATGTCTGTTAATTCACTTTTTATCCACTTTTTTCTTTCCTCCCATATATCTTTTGAACTTTTCCCTTCTTTTGTACATATTCGCAAGACATAATGCTCACATTCCTTCTGTATACCTGATACATGTACATAAAACATCTGAATTTTTTCCTACCCTTTTCCTCTTATTCCTCCCTTTTTCTCCATCTCTTGATCTTCTTCTCCGCTAAGAAAGAGCTATCTCCCTGCTCTCTATTAACTTTTTTATTTTATTCTTGTTTATACTATGGGTTTCTCATGTAAGAGAAACCATGTAATATGTAAGCTTCTGTGTCTGATTTATTTCACAACATTATGGTGTTAACTTGCAGCCATTTTTCTACAATAACTGAAGTTTATCTTTCTTTATGGCAGTGTAGTACTCCATTGTGTGTAAATACATTTTCTTTATCTGTGCATCTGTTGATGGACACAGAGATCACTTCCCTAATTTAGCTATTATAAATTATACTGCTATAAACATACATATTCATATGTTACTTCTGGCCATTTTAAAGCTAAACATATTCCACTCTAGGTAATTGCAGTTGTGAACATCTTTATCTTTTCCTGTGTGATTGACTAGGCCCTTAAGACGGCCTATATACACAGTTCTTTCTTTTTCATTGTCATTGCATCTCAAAAAATACCTTGGACTATCTTGGTTTTATTTTCTGTAGACTATTTTCAGTTATTTATTACAAACTACTTCTTTCATACTTCAGAACTTTAATAATTTTCCACAAAAGATATACATAAACATTTTCTTCTTGACTTTTTAATTTACTCTACTGTCTGTGTTCCAAGTACTGAAATATTGTTGTTAATCACGTAGTGAAACTTTAAGTCATTTTGCTTCTCCAGGAATTTAACTGATAAATCACTTCTACACTTGCGATGAACTGACACATTCTAAGTGCTGTAACATTTTCTAATGTCATTTGAAATAAAATGCAGATGTTTCATAGGAGAATAACAAACAATTATTTTTCACAGAGTAGTATGATATGGAAACGTCTTCCACAAAATTCTGCATCACTTAGTAAAACTTCTGAAGAAATTATGTAACATACTGATAAATCAAATCAACATCAAAGATTAAAGACTTCATTTTTAATTACTTATCAATACATCATATGGAAAGTTGGACAATTTTTTTAAGAAACCGTGGTACATAGATATTAATATAATGCCATATGTATACATCCTATATTCAACCATATCTTCAGCAATCAGTTATATGAGCTAAAAGAAACAGAACTCAAGTGAATTGTTCAGTCATCTTCCTCACAAGGCAAAAACCTGCATTCTTAGTAGAGTTCTTTCTGATTACCCTTGTCTAACTTCATCTTTTGCCTAAAATATGGAGTCCCTTCAAAGAGTGTTCATCCACCATAAAAAGCAGAGAGGTAAAAGATTTACACGCCATATACCAATAGCCACATTGTGCATGGAAATGTAGATTTTCTGGTATATTGTGTGTAAAATATGTTCTTGAAAACTGATTTCTGTGTCTAGATGTCATATTATTGGTTTTAATGTTCTTTGTCCCTGGCTTCCCTCAGTCAGTGAAAAGTCATAGATTCTGTTGCAGTGGCTCTGGAGAGAGACATACATGACTGCACTGGTCACTTGGCACATGCATGAAAAACATATTGAACTCTTTGAGCTTCACTTGTTTGACCTGAAATTTGGGGAGTTAAGTTAGGATGGAATTAAATGAAGTTGTATAAGCACTTGTCATATGTTATGACCTCAGTGCATCTTGCCGCTGAATCTCCTCTTGCTATGTGTGTGGTAGAGATGGTGACAGAGCATTATCTGTAATGAGTTCTGTCTCATGAAGCTGCTGCTATGTTCATTACCTTGTTCTGTAGCTTTTGAAAGAAAATGTTTTAAAATATATTATTTTATATGTAATGTAAATTCTGATGAAAGCTTAGTCATGAGTGTACAAGCATCATACACATAGTTCTTTAACTTGGAAAATTACTATGTTGCTAGTGACTAGAATCTGGATAGTTATATCTGAAAAGATCAATTTTAGACGTGTTACCTTTCCCTGAATGTGAGCATAAATATCATCTCTCTAACTAGCATCCACAACTCACTCTCCTGTGTGTTTGCTATTTAAAAACCTTTACCAATGGGATGTTGGGGGGTGATTTTCTTCTAGATCACAGCCTTCCTTAGTGACAGAATAGACATATCAAGCCACAGACCTTATATCTTGAAACATCTTGTACTTTTCAAATATTTTCTCATTTCATCTTTGCTCATGAGTATACTTATTCTCAGTTTATTTGTGACAAAACTAATAGTTGTCCAATGTTAGTACTAGTAAATGGCAAAGATGATTTTCAAACTCAAATGTGCCCAATATGGTCTTTCTATTCACTGTATGGACAGGATCTAGAATATGTTTTACATGAACTAAGAAATATTTCTAATATTTTCTCAAAAATTAGATGCATGTAGTATACTCTCAAGGCCCAAATCTTGTAAAAATGGACAAAATTCACAAACTAAAGTGGAAAAAACCAGGATCTAGTTCTTTAAACTCAGGGAAAACAGTTAAGCTATTGTATATATATTCCTACTCTGTAATATAGTTCCTTTAGTCGGGAGCCATGATCAATTTTTGCCTAGAGAAGCCTGTAATCTATCAGTTCTTAATCTTGCATATAACTCTGAAAATTGGATAGGATATTTATACAAAAAAGATGACATACTTTAAAAATCTGCACATCGAGGCATGGTGGCACATATCTGTAATCCCAGAACTCAGGAAGCTGAAGCAGAGGATTGCCAGGCATTTGAAGCCAGCTTGGACAACATAGTAAGTTCAAGGCTAGCATGAGCTACATCATGAGACCCTGTCTTGGAAATAAAAAAGGAGTATCTGTGCAAAACAGACCATTCAAACCCATTCAAACTAATTCAGTATGTTTTTAGGAGCAATAGCTCAAATTATTAATTCTGTTGTAAAGTTTAATCCTTTTTGGAAACCAAGTCCTTAAAGCAAAGAAAAATGTTATGATGTATGTTGACCTGGTGCCTACTGAATAAAAGAAGTGTGTTGTATCATACATGTAATTCACGTTATAGCACTGTTTGGTTTTGTGCTGAATATGTATGTATCCTTCACAAGTCCTGCTTATTCTGCCGCTGGTGGTCTATAGGTTGCTATAATTAGGTTTCATGTGTCCATCCTGCTCCCTAAGCTCTTGAGTCGCTACAGGACACAGTACCCTGAGCTGGAACATGAATGATTCTTAGGGAATTTTTGTAAATATGTAGGTGATAAAAACAATATAAGATTTAAATATCATTCTAATGTCAGAATAAACTGTGTTTTATTTTTAACTATCCTGAGCTCTCCCCGAAACCAGACATGATGTGGAGCACATTCCCTGTGTGTAATTTCACAAGTGTGGTCCAGATTCTTCTTTCGGTCCCGTCACTCATTAATGTGGCCTTGGCACATAATGACTGTCTTTTCCAGCCTGTCTAGAAGGCTGGACTAGAAGAGGCAAACATGAGTTTTACCAAAGTGGCCAGAAAGCAGGCAGTACTAAGTAAATATTACTATACTCTAGAGGGCACAACATGGGGCTTACAACCCTGTACCTCATATTTGAATCACAGTAGTCCTCAAATCTGAAGCGAGGTCATTAAATCAAATGTTATAGACACTGATAGAAAAGCGCACTTAAAACATAGTCATTGGAAGGATTTACATGTGGGAAAATAGGAGAAAAAAACAGTTTGAACAATAAAAAGCAACAGTGCATCTACCAAACTAGAAATATTTTGTATATGAACTCATCTTTATTTATTATCTCAAATTATGATCTTCAGTTTTATGAATGTTTTATCTCTCTTACCAGATTTGGCCTCCATGAAGAAATGAAATGCTTTCCAAAAATAATCAAAAGATGTACTATCTGAATACTGAAAAATATACAAAATTTTAAAATAATCTTATCTGTGTGTATATGTCTACTTAGGGATTATATGCCTATATATGTGAGTAATATGCTGGCTATATATGAATGTACAGATATTATATTAGATATATTTTCATATAATATCTCATGTAATTGTTTTAGATAATTAGATGGATATTATAATTGCAAATAATTGAGTGAATAGAGCTGAATATCAGAAAACATGTTCACATTGTCATAATAATATTTAATTATATAGAGTTCTTGGGGAGATCACGACATATTTAATCTCATATTCTTCAACTAGACCTGCATTATCCCAGTAGAATTTTCTAGTGTGCTATCCAGTGTGGTAGCCACTAAGTTTTTGTGGTTTTGAAACACCTGAAATGAAACTCTGTCTCTGTCTCATAAACTGAATTATACCTTATATTTAATGTGGATTTTTAAAAATCTAAATAGAGTCACGTGTCAGGTTACTATGTTACTGGACAATGTAACTGTACGCTCATAGAAGAAGAAGCAGTATCAAGTGAATGGAACCTAGGATGAATTACCCTGGTCTACTGCTATGATGACTATTTCCAGCTTCTTAGAAACAGTGAAACTCTCCCACAATACCTTGACTTTAACCACTTTTCATTTTGTTTTTTCTTCCAACAGATCTTGAAAACTTTAAAACCAGAACAAGAAGCACTGTGTCTGTCCGCCGAGGCCAGGGAATGGTTCTCCTCTGTGGCCCGCCTCCCCACTCTGGAGGTACAGTAAACTCACTGAAGTGCATGCTGTACTCACTACTATTTTTCTTGCTGAATGTTCTTCCACTTGGCCCGGGCTGAGGGACAGTGTCATTCGTAGAGATGCTCCAGGTCCAACAGTATAGAGGAAGAACCACTATGAATTCCTCCCGTAATTAGGATAGAAAAGTATCAGATTGTTTGAATGTTTCACCCCACTACTGTCTGGCCGGCACAGAGGGAAAGACACCTGAGTAAGTGAAACTTAGAATCCTGTTGCTTGGTGAAGCAGTGTAGCAAAAGCCGCCAGTCCTAGGCTAAAAAAAAATTACTCTGCTTCATTTTATCTCATTATTCATCTGGGAAGGTTTGTAAGAACAGTTTCTACCCCCCACATATCTAATACCAAACATTTTTCCACACTAAAAGCTAATTCTTAAACACTGTGGACACCAACTAGATGTCTGGTGATTCATCTGTATTCTGACACTAACAACCCAGAATACAGTAAATTGCTGTCACCTCCAGTGCTACTTGCAAGTTCCTGGCCTCCCATGCATCTGACCAACCTTGGGGTCAGTAATTTGCTAGAACAGCTCAAAGAACTAAAGAAAATCAGTTTACTCACCATTTATGTATTTAAACAATATTATAATCGACAAACATGAGCTGTCAGATAAATTTGACTGGCTTAAGAAGCACCAAGGGGCTTCTAGTGCTGGTCCATGCCTATCAAAACAGGATTCTAGGGAGCTAAGGCAAGAGGATCAGTGTTTGAACCCAGACCCTGTTCCCCAGCTCTGACTTCCCTAACACTACAACTAAGAAGCTTTGTTCTACTTGACCCTTCTACCATGTTGCTGCTGCCTGGAGCCATCCACTCATGTGCTGAAACCATGAGGCAAATTAAACCTCTTTCCTTAAACTTGAAAGTGTACGGTATTGAGTCAGTGACCAGAAAGCTGACCAAGACCAAAAGCAAGATCCAGAAGGGTTTTAAGCACAGGAGCTTCTGTCCCTGTGCTGCTGGGTGTGCACCCTCTCATCACACGAATGTGTTCATTATGCAGGGGACCCCTGAATATAGTTTTGTGACATTTAATTTATATAGTGTAATTGAATCATAGGCCATTGGTGACCGAGCTCTATTTTCAGCCTTTTTCCCTTCTCCAGAGGTGCAGGGTGGATGCAGGAAGAAACCTGAAAGTTCTAAGTCTCTAATTACATGATTGGTTCATCTGGCAACCAGCTCCCATCCTGAGCCTATCTGGGGCCTCTAGAGAGTTAATTCATTTACATAAGCTCAGGTATGGTTTTGTGAATAACAAAAGACATTCCTATCACCCCATCAGTCAGGAAATTACAAAGGTTTTAAGAGCTCTGTGCCTGGAACATAGAAAGAAAATCAAATATATATTTCTTTGTTTTGTTTCTTGAGATGCTAAGGATTAAATTTTAGGGATTTATTCATGCCAGGCACATGCTTTATTACTAAACTGCACCCCCAGCCCCCAATTATATACTTCTTATTAATCACAGTAACACATTATCACACCAAGAATCAACGTCCCTTCACCACAGCATCCAAAATCAGTTTGTGGAAATTTATAATGGCCAAATGAGTTAGGGATACATTTGGCCCAGCAAAAACAGACTTAAATGGATTTGAGTTTGTCTTTCTCATATGCATGAATATCAGATATATGCTGTCAAAGTTAGCACAAGTTTTTGGGTTGGTTTTTTTTTTTTTTTTTTCCTTTTTTCCAGTTCTAAGGGCAGAATGTAAAGCCTAGGACATATTAAGCAAGTGTTCTACTGCTGAGCTACAGCCCCAGCCCTTAGCAAGCTTCTGGAGTGGGTATAATAGGACTTCAGCCCTTCCTCTGTCCTTCCCCAATACCCTTAGTGTGTGGTGTGGCTGTAATGATGACTGTATTCCAAACTCAAAGCAACTAAAAGAAACAGGAGCAAAAACAATAATTGTTTTTCTCCACTTCACTTTACCTTTGTTATGGGAAGTTTACTTTTCCCAAGAGCTTTACCACATTTTCTTGATTACTTCAAGTTGCAAAGGAAACTGGAAAATCAAATATTTTATGTAGATGGTTTGTGCCCTGAACAGTACCACAATTTGTTAATAAAGGAGGATATAGAGATACGTATAAGCAACTTGTAGAGTCTGCAAAAAAGATCAATTATGAGCAGAGGGCAAATATAACTATATATAAAGGGTTTATTAATGAGAAGATGTAATAAATTGTGATTTTTATTAGAATTCTACAAAAGTTTACCATGACAAAGGTAATGAACGCTAGTGTTAATAATTAAGGCTATTTATTTTGATATGTTGTATCATTATTGCCTGAACTTTCTATTGAAAAAAAATTAAACTTGACATCTAAAAATATACTTTTCTTTTTGTTCTACATTGAAAAGTTTAACTTTCTCAAATTCATCTAATGTCCCACCTAGTATTCTGAGTAGAGAATAATAGCAAAATAACCAAAAGGTCTGTGTTGAGCACACTGCACATGAATCCTTCAAATCTGAATCAAGATTTGTTGATCTGTGGGATAGTTAAAATTTCTTTTGAAGACTAGTGCAGAATTCAACTTTGCTTTCTGGACCATGTGCTTGGGAAAAGCACCAGATTTGAAGTAAAGATAACACTTTTGATCCTGGTCCTTTTCAAATCATTATTTGAAGTTGGGCAAATATCTTCACTCTACTTACAGTGAAGCAAAGAATGGTGAGAGTAAAATAACTTTGTCAGATGCATTTTAGTTCTATCAGTACATAATTATAGCTCATAATATTCATGATAATAATAATTATAGCTCTTGTACTTACTGTGAGTTTGGTGCTGAGAGCCTGGAAGAGAGAGCAGGTCTAGTTTCTGTAACTTCTTACTGAGGCCTGCAAAGGAGCCTCAGAAACCCTCAAGCATCACAATGCAGTGGCACTTGGGGCTCTCAAGACCAGAAATCTGAAACTAGATGTGGCTGCCTGAGCCCTGCCTGGACCATGATTTAAATGCAGCTAACAAGGAAACTGGGAAAAAGACTGCTCCAATCCTGGCATTCCCTTAGGGCCATGTCCCTACTGCAACATTAAGGGCCACTGGAAGAGTGACTGTCCTAGCCACCAGCAAGCGGTCTAACATACGTGCATTCACCAGTGAAGTTGTCCTGGCTAAAACACCTGGCACCAGCTTCTACCTGGGCATCAACCATCATCCCGTTGCCTCCTCTAGACCCCAATACAGCGCCCCCTTCCAGCAGGAATCAATAAAGAAAGAAATCTTCACCCATTTTTCTAATAATAATAATCATAAGACGGGATGTGAAACAGTTTTGGCCCAGACAGGATACTGTAGCCGGTAAAGGCTCAGGCGGAACCAAGGAGCTCCATCTCCCTCATCCCTAGGAATTTACCTGTGGTGCCAAAAGAATACAAATGGGCTACCTGTGCATACCTAATGCCCCTCAGGCACCACCCCCAACCTAAGCTACATATATGCCCCCATGCCACGTGTCCGCCAGAGAGAAAACCAGACTCCAGTGGTTGGGGGCTTCTTTGTTTTCTCTCTCTGAGTTCTCAAAATAAAGGCCTCTCTTGTTTAAAAAAAAATAATAATAATTATAGCTCTTTACCAAGTATATCTGCATTATTGAAGCCCTGTACTTTATATAAGGAAAACCACTTAACTGTGGACATATATTTTGATTCAGGTAAAATTCACTCAGACTATCACTTCTCTTCCAAAAATGCAATCCGATCAAAATAAAAATTGATCATTTTGCTAATTTCTCCCGCAGGCTACCTTCACAACATTAACATGGTGCTTCAGTAACATGGCAGCAACTCTGAAATTTAATCCTGGCGGTTTAGTTAAAAAGTACCACTCCTAAAGCATAATAACTTTAGAAAAGACAAAACACATGAAGTCAGCTGTGCTACTTTGTTCTCCTTCCCACACAGAAACTTATCAGAAATTTCCATAGACATGAAATGTGCTTGTCTAGGCTGGCAGCAGTCAGTAACTCTGAAATCTGGTTCCCTGAGCGATGCTGACATTCCTGACAGTCTTGATGGTGAAAGACAAGGAAATAAATATTCTCATTATGGGCTGTATTAGAAATCATGCACACAGTAACACCATAAGCAAGTCAGGCACAGCAAGGCAATTTTCAAGAAAACAACAAAGAGGATCTTCAAGATTGTGAGAGAACATCTCAGACATCCATCACTTTTGAGCAGCAGTCAGTGATCATCTGATGGAACCCTCCTCCCTACCCACCATTCCTCAAAAGCATCCAGTGCAAACTGTACAGCAGTGATTCTCATTGCTTTCTAAGCTGCATTTCACCTAAAAGCTGGCAGAATCACCGCAAGCTACTGGTCATACTGAGCTCTTTAGACCCAGCATATGTCATCAGTTTCAATTGTCACAGATCATGCAGAGGAAGGGAAATGAGTCAGTCCTTCATTATATCAGTGGGACACTCCGTAATGCTCTGAAATCCATTGTAAGGGATGCTGCATGTTCAGTTTCAAAAGCTGTGCAGTGTCATACCACCTTAGGGTATCACAGAAATGAGCAACAATTAATCTGTTTTGAAAAGCAGTTATTTCCAGCACTCTGAGAGTCACTGTGTGTAGCATCTTTTTCATCTCTTGTTTTATGTATATGAATTCCGCTGTGTTGTCATTGTGTAGTTTTTAACATTAGATGTTGGGAGAAAAAAAACACCAAAAAAAATCACTCTGATCATCTCTGGTTGTCCTTGGTCTTCTTTAAATTCAGAAATGGATATTATTAGTTTATTTCAGCTTCCACAAATTTGAGGGTCACATGGCATTAGGAATTCATGACCCTTAGCCATATTGTCACTGAATAAAAATAGAACCGGGATACTTTGAGATTCTTCCTTCCAATGTAAATTGATTGAGTTTTTCATCAGTGAAACCCTCACGAACTGTTCAAGGGAAGCTTTTATTTTCCTTCCTTTTTTTATGTCA